CCAATTAAGTCTTCAGGTAACTAATCAGTTATATTCAAGTGAAACTGGCAATAATTACCGACACTTTCACAAGATCAGACCAGATTGGATATCAAGTGAATAATTAATATTGACAAGGAAATAGTCACAGCTCTGATAATGAAAAGTTACCTCCCACTAACTGCCTTGTATAGTTCAATATAGGTTCGTAGCGGTTTGGGCGATACGGTTGTCATAACTGAACTGAAACTTGGGGCGTAACGGTTTTGGGGCGAAACGTCTGTAATTTTAGGACGTGCTTCTGCGTGTTGTGTGTGTGTTGGAGGCAGGGCATGTTCGTGTATTCGCCTCTTTCTGATCCATCATATTTTTTCACATGTATTCGGTTTCTTCGCGATGTTGCATTGACATTTTTAAGAGCTCCAAGTTGATACGGCACCAGACTCGGACTTTAAAATCTTCCATTACCAATTTTAAAAAGATAGTTCACAAAGCAGAGACGATAACAGCTAACAGTGACTACTAATAGTCTGTACGAAAAGAAATACCGAGTGAACCCGACATCAAGCACGAGATAAATATAGAAGCAAACTATTAAAGTAACAGCCAGTAAATCGTTAGAATAGATAAGTGGGGAAGATACGCTGTTAATGAATGTGAGAGGCTGGGATCAATATCAATATTCAGAAACGTTAACGTGATAAAGTGACGTTATCTTCATTATTATAACACAATGACAAGCTATACTGTTTCCATGTTAGGTTGTTAATGATGTGGACTACTGCTGATGTCATTGCAATATTTAGGATCGTTATCATTTCGTTGCGACGGAATATCCCCAAGAAGGTGTCTACATATGTGATTGGCAGTTCCGAGAACCATCTTCGCAATAGCCAGTGGCATATGAGTACAGAAGAGTAGATAGAAAACGTAAAAATAAAATAGTGCAAGTCGGAAGTCGGGGGGGGGGGGGCAACATATCCATTTTGATTTGATGCATGCCCTCATGTAAAATTTGAGTCACCATAGCCACTTTCAATATTCAGTTTGACATTTATCTTTTACCTTTCAGTTTGGTTTGATGCTTTTATTAAGGAATTACTTTTGTCGGCCATGTGTTGGCCCTAATGACCTATGCTGTGTTATGGGCCGTTAAGCATTGATACTAATAATAGTAATAATTGTAGGAGACGTTGAAGAAAACACAAAAGGCCAATTGGGCATGCATCGTACACCTAGTATTAATTTCAACCTTAAAAGTGGACTTAAAAGTACAGGAAAAATTTAGGTATCTACGAAGCTAAAATATTTAAACATCTTTTACCACAACTGGTTAATCCGTTGTCAGTATAATGTGACCAGGCGGAATGTTGTTCTGGGTGCCTTCAGAATGGTATTTCAGTGAGATAGCGCGGATCTGATGCCGACCTTATAGTGCTATCACAAGGAGACAAGTACACCAACATGCCCCGTCTCCAGAACACATACACCCATGCACAACATACATGTCGGCACGTTTTTAGCTCACCAGCCCGAAGAGCAAGTGAGCTTATGCCATGGTGCGGCGTCCGTCCGTCCGTCGTCCGTCTGTCCAGCGTCAACTTTTTACTTTAAACGACTTCTTCTCAATAACAAAAAGGCCCTGGGTAATGATATTAGGCCTGTAGCATGCTGGGATGAACGGCTACCAAGTTTGTTCAAATGAATGACCATGACCCACTTTCAAGGTCACTGGGGTCAAACGTCTTAAAATCTTCAAACAACTTCTTCTCAATAACCAAAAGGCCCAGGGTACTTATATTGGGCCTGTAGCATGCTGGGATGAAGGGCTACCAAGTTTGTAAAAATGAATGATCTTGACCAATTTTCAAGGTCACAGGGGTCAAATGTCTTAAAATCTTCAAACAACTTCTTCTCAATAACCAAAAGGCCCAGGGTACTGATATTGGACCTGTAGCATGCTGGGATGAAGGGTTACCAAGTTTGTTAAAATGTATGACCTTGACCATTTTTCAAGGTCAAAGGGGTCAAATGTCTTTAAATCTTCAAACAACTTCTCAATAACCAAAAGGCCCAGGGTACTGAAATTAGGCCTGTAGCATGCTGGGATGAAGGACTACCAAGTTTGTTCAAATGAATGACCTTGATCCACTTTCAACCTGATATCCTTGTTCGACATTCAAGGTCACAGGCGTCATATGTTTAAATCTTTTAATAGGTTCTTATGAATCAAACACTGATATTCTGCCTGTAGCTGTATTTTAGTCCACTTTTAAGATTACAAGTATGAGATTAATACCAGGTGAGCGATTCAGGCCCATCGGGCCTCTTGTTAAAATACCTAAGTTGGTAATAGGACGTTAAACAAAATAAAACCGAACCTTTGACCCCTGTTGCTTCGACGTGTATCTAGGTCATGCAGCTAAACCATACTTATACACCTTTATCACAGCGTGCAACTTACCAAATATCATTACTTTAGACGTTTTGTTTATTTCTATGAGGTTATATTAATGTTTATACATTTGACCATATATGACCTCGAAAGTAGGTTAAGGTCATTCAAGTGAACGAACTTGATATCCCTTCATCTGAGCAGGTTACTTATCATCAAGACAGTATAGGTCATTAGGGCCAACAAATGGTCGACAAAAGCAAATTTAAAGCAAAAACAACAACGTCAATTTTGATATTAAAAGTGGCTATGGTGATTCATACTTTATTTAAAAGACAAACAGCTTATAAATAGCCTAAAAACAATCAAAAAGAGATCTAAGCCAGTAACGGTACTATAGAATTGTTTTTCTCGAGTTGACTGAAGGTGGACACAATCAAATAACAAGTGTTTTACTGTTTTGCATATAGGCTAGTCTTCACGATTCAATAAATAGCCATTGGTAATGTATGAATGACCCATCCGGAGACGGGGAAGGACAACCTCTTCTCGGCTTCTCTCTCTTAAGCTATTCAGAAGAATATGTTTAAGCCTATTTAAGACATTTGACACTTGAGTCTTTGAATATGAGTGAAGACCAATCATTTGAATAAGCTTTGTAGCCCCTCATCCGTGCATGCTAAAGGCTAAATATTACTCTTAAAGAAAAAGTTTGTTTAAAATATTTGACTCTTGTGACCTTGAAATCGCGTGATGGTCATTCATTTTAACACATTTGGTAGCCTTCCAACTAAATATGCTTCTGGCTAAGTATTCTCCCCTGGACCTTTTGTTTATAGAGATGAGGTCATATAAATGTTCATACACCATATGTGACCTTGAAAATAGGTTAAGGTCATTCACATGAACAAACTTGTTAGATCTTCATCTTAGCCAGCTACTGGCAGAATATCAACACACTTTTCATTTTCGTTGTTCATAATCTGATTTAAAACGTATTGGACCTCCGTGACCTTGAATATAAGTCAAGGCCATTCTTTTGATCAAAATAAACAGCCATTTATCACAGTATGTGACCTGCCAAATATCATCAGACTGGTCTTTTGGTTATTTAGAAGATGTTAGAAGCTTTTTTTACGATATTTTTCCCTTTTACCTTGAATATTGGTGATGATCATTCATTTGAATAAACTTGGTAGGTTTTCATCCGTGCATGCCTCAGATATCACCCTTGGTCTTTTGTTTATGCAGAATACAAGTGAAAGCCATTCATTTGAATACATTTGGTAGCCCTTTATCTCAGTATGCTTCTGGCAAATTGCCTTTACCCTAGCCCTATTGGTTATTGAGAAGAAGTCGTTTACAGTAAAAAGCTCACTTAACTCTATGGGCAAGGTGAGGTGATAAAGCATTAAACACATCAAACAGTTTTTAGCGAAAAACCAGTTGCTACTACGGTCGTTATATACCAGATTTGGTTCAGTTTGTTTGTGGTTTAACGTCCTCGCAACAGGCGGGTCATATGATGAATGTGTAGATGATAAAGGGGGAAAGGTGTTAAAACTGTTGCAATTGAGGCACCATTTACATTTTTCTCTCTTCTATGTCTTTATCTTAAACAAGCCAAAAGAACTGTCCGTTCATATTCATAGGCCGAAGACAAAGGATAAACCCTATGCTGCAGGACCTATGATAATATTTAGTGGGATACTCCAGGACAACGATGTTTATAATGGGAAAATATAAAAGTATGAATAGGGTGAACTTAGTACTTTTTCCATTCATACGCACTGTAGCACGATCGAGTATGAACTTGTTTTTAATAACGTCGGTACGTGCCGTTGCCAATGAATAATTCAAGGTGCTATCCTTATATGAAACAAATGTCGATAGGGAAGGAAATTTTTTATTCATAATTATTATATACCTGCCTTCATATTTCACAGTCCAAGTAGCGCACAAGGTATCAAAGTAGACGTTGGTAAAGGGTTCAAGTATTATTCAGGTGAAATTTCGTCAGACGTTACTTTCGAGATTACATTCAACCGCGACAAATGTGCTCTTCCTATTGAAGCAGTGTCATTCAGCAGATCTTTGATACATCGACATTAGTTAGTATCACAACTACACTCGGTTAAGGTTTTATGGATGACTGAATGTATTAACAAAATACATTTGACGTTTTCATCGGATAAAGTTGTCACTAATATTCCTTTAACAATTTTTTGTTGATTGGTTAAGATTGTAATCATCCACCGTAAACAACATATAAACATAAGTATTATTGTTCAATTAGAGTTTGATTTTGCTAAGATTTTACCTGTACTCTGACTGGTTAATTTGTTTTTCAAGGAAAATTCTGACTGCAAAAGTTGTTGAACATTCATGGAAATGTTTATATTGTTTCCATTGGATGTTATACTTTATCTTCAGTTTGTGTTACGCGTACACATTGCTGCAGATTTAATAAATGTGACATTAATTCACGAAAATCAGTTTATTCAACAAGATTTCCTCACAACAACCATGCCGACCATCTATCAGTGCATGGAGTTGTGTGTTGCCTTCAAGTTGTGCCGAGGGTTTGACTTCAACAAAGACAAAGGGAACAAATGTGCTCTGTATTCAGACGGCCGGAAGAGACAATCTAACTGGATATCTTCTCGCACGAATCCGACGGTTCTGAAGTCATCTTTTCCACAGGTGAATATAATTCAAAAAGCAAGATGCCTACATCGAGAATATATGTAAATCGTCAACAATAGACAAGTGTTTAACGTTTATGTGAAAAAGACAAGAAGACGTTTTAACCTGTTAAATACATATGCACTTAGTATCTGAATGAACCTAGCTAGTACTGCATTTAGAATAGATCAAGAAAGCAATTAACATATGTACAACCAAACATGCAAGCATGACGTCTTCAAAACGCAAAATTTCGTTCCCGATAATACTGCAATTTAAATGTAGCATATCACTGCAAGAAAGCGTGGTCTGTATTGAGTTTTTAAACTGTTATTTGGCCGTTTTTGTGTCCTGCAAGTCGAAGGCACACGGCTGAGTAATATTTCATCCAGTCACCTTGGATTGACAGCAGTGTGACTGGGTGGAAAACTGTTGTCTGCCAACGCAGTACGCACACTATATGCTGATAACAATTACCAATAAACCCGAATAAACCTGGCCTTCAGCACACATACTGGTGCCGCATCATTAAATTAACTTAGCTGCTGATGGGATGTTAAACCCCACAACACTAAACCAATCTTGTGTCACCAAGAAATGGACACTGAAGCGATTCCCCAGTTCTGTAGATGTCCACTTTAGTTGCCTTTTAAAACAAGCAGCGGGTAACAGCAAGTGCATTCTTGTCTATGCCCGACTTGCAAGGGTCAGATTTGAAGCCATTCATTCTGCCATTCTACTGGTCATATATCATCACGCAAGGCATTTGGTTTATTCAGAAAAAGTCTTTCCAATGTTTTATCACATTTGACCCCTGTGACATTGAATATGAATCAATGTCATTTATTTCAAAAATGCATTAGCCCTTCATCCCCGAATAATATCATATTGTGGCTATTAAGGTGAATCCGTTTAAGGAATTTGAACCCATTTGGTCCTATAACCATGCAGATTGGTCAAAGTCATTCACCTGAGCAAACTTTATATCTCTTTCATCCCGTTATTCTACTAGCCAACCAGAGGGCCTATACCGACCAGCTGGACATTTAACTATTCTCCTCACAAATAATATCACAGGAGTAGGGACAGTCGGGAGGACCAATGCTGGAAGCATATCTTAATCTTCTGGCTTACCAATTGTATATATTATTATAGGATTGAGATTTCAATGTTTCCATGTTGAGATCCAGGGGGCTACATTTCTTTTTGTGAGAGCCGTAGGACAGGTGCCACTTTTAGTTGCATGGTTGTGTTAATATTATATGCCCAAAAAATGTATAATGGTTATTGGGTGGAGATTTCAAAAGGTTAAAAGGTATGACCAGTGACTAGGTCTCTTAGGGTTGGACCACTTCCTACATCCAAATCCCAACTGTTAAAACTTCTGGCCCAGAAACTAAGTCTATACTAATTAGGAGCTATATTCACGAACATAATCTGCCTCCGGCTAACATCAAGCATACACAACACACATGGAGGCACATCCGTAAATAACCTTAGCTGTTAATAGGACGTAAAACAAAATATAACCAAAAGTTAAATCAATCTGTTTTCAACAGTAGTTAAAACAGTTTTGATTTCCAATGTTTTACCCCCTAGCATCACCGATGAATTTAAGAAGGACGATACAGCTTTATTATGCAGTGTAATTCATTTTGGCATGCTGTATCTGCATCCTCTGAATATGTCAAAGCAAAATCTAAGCCACCTTGTGGATGAGACGAGAAATTTAGTTTGATCCTTTGATGTACATACAAAAAAATGTCGGTCGCGTAACGGTAAAATTGACAATTGCTATGACATATTCCAGGGGTGCAGAGAGCGAACGTGAGCGTAACCCCTGAAGTATCGCGGATGCCTTAGTTGGTGTATTACGTAAATCTTTTCGGATATAAGGTGGTAGACTCTGCTGGTGGATTTCAAGTCTCTAAGGTTTGCAGTAACCTTAATGGCCACACTTATCTCGTTTGAGTGGTAGCTGGGTTCAAAATATACACTGGGCTGATTATTGAAATGTTTAACTTTATTACATAAGGGGTTTATGCACATGCCGCTCTGTTATAACAGTACTTTAGACAATTCTGATTTCCATCTATTTGGCCCCCTAGCATCACCCAAGAGTGCTAGAAGGAAATTCAGTTGGATGATGCAGTATACTTCTCTTTTGGCATGCTGTATCTACAGTTTTTAAAGCTATATCACCTGCGTGTGTATGTTTTTTTCTTGCCCCAAGTGGGGTTTCGACGGACCCATGTTCAATTCTAATCTCATGGTTGTGTTTATATTATATAACGGTTGAAGATTGCATGATGCTCGGTGCCAGGGTCCCTCAGGGATGTCCTGTATAATGTGAATAGTTTGTAATGTATGTCTTTTATTTTACAAATCCGTCATGTTGATATCAGAATTCCAATGACATTTCTGGTAGGATAAAGGCGCTGCCTGCAGAAATCACACCTGTGCTATTGATGAGATGTGCGTTCCAGCTGCCCCGGCATACGTTTGTGTAAAACATGGTAATTTAACATTCTCATATTATTTCAATGCCAATTTCTTACCATAATAATTCCATAGTAGCATAATGTCACATATATTAACTAGATTAACTCAATAGGAGTATGTCATTGTTGTATTTGTGACTTGATGTTCAAAACAATGTTAAAGGGACAATTAAGTCAAGTACGTTTTTTATAACCTTGTCAAAAAACTCTTCATGATTATATAGTTTCATACTCCCTATGGACAATTCAGGTCGAGAAATTGACAAGAGACAATGTTTTCTTGGCGTTTTTAATCAGTAATGGAGAAATCCTTAACTGTACAGTGGTACGTTTTAGCGGCAGCTGTCGGTAAATTTCTAGCTAACAAAAATGTCTTTCCAGCCGAGGAGAGAAGAAAACCTCGTTTATTCGCCTAGCCTCTCTGAATATAAGTATATGCATCTATTCTTAATCAAAATCATCTTCCAACACAATCGTTATAAATGAGTGATCTATTTTGCGTTTCAACCTGTTGATATCGTACTTTCTGCGGTTTAAAATCCTCCCTGCAGCACCCTCTCAGTGCGTGCATGCTCTAATTGAACCTGTTCGTTTTCATTCAAATCCAAATGTGAACAGAAATATCTCATTAGAGGTATGTATTATGATATTTATAATTCTTACTTGCGATGTATTGTCAATTCAAGAATATGTTATGTGTGAACTCAAAATCATAACTGACACTGTGTTGTCGGTCAACAGCGAAGGGCTGTACATGTTTCTTTCTCACTGAAAACCCCGGATATTGCGCTATTTCGGTCGTAGCTATTTTTAATACCGGCTTTTTCAAAAGATGAAACTGACCATACTGGTCGTTGGCTTCATGTCATGTCATTATAAACAACGTAAACTTTTGTTAGGAGATATATATTTTCAGTATCGACTTGATTTGCAGGTTATCAAAACAAACTTACTTTACTAAATAGTCCCATTAATGTTAGCTCAACTTTGGCTCGTACAATCTTAAATTACCTGATTTACTTGAGTATTCATTATTCAGCGATAGCTTCACACAATGGATATTTGTTTTTATTTTCTTTACGGTTGGTGGACGATTTAAGTTATTAAATATCAAACAACAGTCTAGAAATACTCATTCATTAATTATACATCAAACGTTATCTCAAAAGATGGAAGATATTATTAACACAGAAATTGAGGGAGTAAATATGTTTCACATGAACAACATAGATGTAAAATAAGCAAAGTAAGTATAAATACAAACATGACCAGAGATGCAACGCCATACTTTTCGTTCATATGATTCGTGAATGTTGTTCATACTATTCATGAATGTTGTTCATATAGTTCATGAATGTTGCCCGTTGTCAGTATAATGTGACCGGGTGGGGCGTCCTGCTGGGTGTCTTCGGAGTATGTTTCAGTGAGGTAGCACTATAAAGTCGGCATCAACAATTGTGCTTCACAAACTTGGATGGATGTTTCATTACCTGAATGCGTTGAATGAGTTCTTAAATCGTGACATTTAAACACTATTCGGAAAAGTTATGCCACTTTTTCATTGCAAGAACTTTTAATTATTTGTTTAATTCCTTTCAAAAGTATGGTGAAACAAAAACCAAACAAAATGTGTATAAAATGCAAGAACGTTTTTTTTATTTTTTAATCAATTCTTGGTATGGTAATGCTACATTATGAAAGCAATAATGTTCAACTTATATTACGGGGTTTTCTGTCGAGTTTTAACTTTCTTCGTATTTGTATCACCATTGAAATAGTTACACTGTACTTCATTTTTGCTGTTAACCTTTGTTGTTAACAGGATAACTTAAACAATTGCTTTGTTGATTTCTCCGATTTTTAACAAACTATTTGGTAAGACTTTTTAATTATTTGTTCAAGACTCCTACCTCAAAGCCAGGGTTCTAGTTTTAGTAATAGCAACATTGACCACGAATGTGTAATTCTGAAACACAAAATAGCTTGCGCCATAAATACAGTAAATGGATGGCTAGGTCACAGTCACCACCAAAACGGTGGCACTAAAAACAGTTAGATCATATGTCATTACCTGCTTCCAATAAATCAATACCCTTCCGAGGGTCTGACGGGCGTATCATGCTTCCGCTCGCGGTGCTCTTGTTTAAATTTATGCAAATTATTTTTTTCATTCAAAAGACTTTCTGTTGATAAGGATAAATTATTGAAGATTTAAAACTTCTATATAGATGAATACTGTCAGTCGAATCATTTGTATTCGTTGATATTTGGTTAGAAATATGAGTAACACGCGAATTTTCATTTATATATTCCTAGTATCAGTAAATAAGAGTTACCTCCCTTCCCATAAAGTTTACTTGATTGTTACTAAATAAGTAATTTGAACTGATGTATGAAACCTAATTACAGGTCGATTTTTCCTCATTCCAACTAACCATATACATTGCATGGAATAACTATTTTGCTTATTTTGTACTTTTTCGTGTACGAGTTTGTATTCCATATACAGTCGCAGAGTGTATACGCCTCTATGGCGATGAACGCAAAACATTAATATATATAATAGATACATATTTGGTTCTTTGCTCTATGGCAAGGAGGCAATTACACCAACATACCCTGCCGCTAGCCCACATACACATGGAGGGACCCAGGGAACTGACTGTTGTTAGGACGTTAATTCCGGTAAAACAAAACAGAACTTGTTCTTTGCAAGATTCAGCAATATATTACAGGTATCAAGATCATGTCAGGAATTCCCTTTTTTTCCCTGTAGTATAAAACTTACAAACAATTATTGCTTTTATAAGGAAAAATAATTAAAGGGAGGGAATTCACGACAGTAAACAATATACCACCATGACTAAGTACGTTTCTAAAAGACTGTTTTTACACGCCATAGAATACAGCACTGTGAGATGCCCGGAGCAATGGGGTCGACGGGATGATCTGTGTTTCCGGATGTTCAGAGAGGGTAAAACTTGGACTGAAGCCAAGGTAATGTAAGCAAAATTTCTACCCTTATTAAAGGCTTTGTTCGATAAAAGCTTTACAGTCTATCACCATAGGTTAGTCATACAGGGCAGGCGTGTACTCAATGAACCTATCAACGAAGAAGCAAACGTTAGTTTCTTAAACACAAACGTGCTAGTCATCGCTTTTCAATATGTACTAATTATAAGTGAAGACGTCACCAAGAGTCTGCTCGGAAATAGTTTTCTCTTCTGTAACCATAATTCAATTATTAGTATAAGTTTTAAAGTGTTATATAGTATTTTATTCTTATTGCAGTTTTAAGTATCTACACAGAACAAGGTCGTTTCTTCATTTCCTTACTGTTCGCCTTGTTATTTATATCATGTAGCTAGCAAGGAAGCAACTACACTAGAATACCTGCATTCGTTACACACACCTTAGTTAAAAAGACACCCAACAAACTAAACAGTATGTGTCAGTGAGGTAGCACTATAAAGTCGGCATCAGTTCCGCGCTATCACAAGGAGACAAACACGAACATATCGCAGCCTCCGAACACACACGCATACACTACACGCGTGCATCTTGCACACAGGGGAGGCCGTCCTAAAATGCGGATTGGAACGACTGCTTCGCCCGTTATCAATATAATGTGACCGTGTTTGGTGTCCTGCTGGGTGTCTTCGGCAGTATGTTTCAGTGGAGGCCGTCCTTCAATGACCATGGCTGTTGGTAGGACTTTAAACAATATTAACCAAACCAAACCTTAAATGACCATAGCTGTTGTTCTTTTTCGAAGGTGTTTCCTGGTGCATGTCTTTCAAATGATCTTGGCTATTACAGGGCATAGGAAAGAGAAAGTTCATAGAAAAGACAAAAGAGAACCTAAAGAAATAAGAATCTATATAGATCCCACGTGTAGCAATGTGGGCAGCAGATAACACGTTTGGTCTCCTCGATTATGACACTAATCGCATTCTACGTCTACGATACACATGCAGTGCGCGCGATACAGCAGGTCTATTCTTTGACATGCTGGTCCCCCATTGAACACTTTTTCAGTTTCCTCGTCTTTTGTCTATCTACTTTATCCTCCCGGCAGTGCTTCCTTACACACAAGTCCTCATACTACTCTGTTACTTACAAGGACAAACAAGTTTTCATCCCCCACACATTTCAAACTTTTCATCAAAAGCAATGTTTCAAACAAATATATAAAAAAACCACTCGGAAATTTTCCATGTAGTTTAATTTTCACCTTCTGTAATGAGGACGAATCTATCATAATAACAAACATAAGTAAACAACAATTTAGACATAGCAATCAAATGCCGAGTGTTGTAATTAACACTCGGTGATAACGAATTTTACCCGCATAGGACGAAACTTTCCCAGTATTCATTTTAATTTGCTTCCTGGCAACAGATATCATATCAAAGTAATGGCCATGTTTTCTGTTGATGGGCCGTTAAGAATTTTGTTCCGAATGATTCAGATAATAAGTGACCAAATGCTTCTTTGTGTCTGTTTATTCTCGTCGAAACTGTGAATGTCTTGTTGCGACCTTGAAATATCAATACATTGAATTTAATATCTAAAAATAAATTCGGTCCCATTTAGATATGAAAAATTAACATGTCAAATGCTGCGGCTTGAAATGAAAAAAAAAGGTACATGACTCAAGATTGTTTATATTGTTATTGGTTTAGGATGTCTGCGCCAGTAATGGGGGACAGCTTCTGTCGTTGGAATCAGAGGATGATTATCTATTTCATGAATTTTGGATCACTTTCCACTTGAGAATGAAATGTATGTATGAGCATTGATACACATAATTTGTTTATTATTTCACGGGTTAAAATATTGCGAACTGAAATATGCACTTTTGGTTTCAAGTTGTACTACCTCGCAACAGTGAAGGTCATATGAAGGGTGCTGAAGAATGTTGGTGTCATTTACAAAGACCAGTATTCCTGAAATGTCCCGATAGCATGCCTTTATTTTTGTTCATAGCATTTCTTTAAGCCTATTAAGTTATGTAACCCTGTACAAGTATATGTGTTTTTATATGTTATTTTTTACATGACATGATTACTGTTACCTGCAGGTAGGGCGTAAGAATTGTAAGAACTGCCCGCCCTCATTGCATGATCGTAAGAAGCGACTTAATTTGAAAACTTATATTTTCTCTTCTTTCTAAACAACTTTCTTCTTCCTAATGTCTCCCTTGACAATGCCTCACTTTTGGCCTTTATTTGAGCGTTCGCCCTTGTAAAGAAGGTTTTGAGTTCCCTCCCCTGGCCGAGAAATACTCAAGGTAGGGTGGGGTGGGGGGATCTGATGATCTCTTTTCAATTATGTTTTTATGGAATTGAGATAGACAGAACGACCAACGTAGGGTCTCCTCCAAAACCAATGCGCCTCGATTTTGGTACGTATAATTGAGCATGTTTCGTTTGACTCCACGAGTGACATCACGTCTAGTCAATTGAGTCATGTGATAAAACCAGAAATACTTGCGAACATTGTTGACAAAATTCTTATGGTATTCCAGAAAAAAACACCTTAAAATGAGACCTTAAAGGGGATTTCTACCTCTGCTCTAATAAACAATATAAAATGGGGTCGTAACTTCGGGTTTAGCTGCCTCTTAATTACCCAATTACCAAGGGGAAACATTAAACTTAAATAAAGCAAAAATAAAACCCATGTGTTCCACAAACGAAAAATGTTGTCACAATTTATTTTGTTTACAGCCTCACATCCTATATCCGGAGAAATCTGGACAGGTTTTCCCTATTCATCTGTCCTGCCAGGTTGGGTAAATTCTCCAAACCATGTGACAAGTGGGTCTGACTTGTGCATGAGTTTGTTTTATAGGCCAAGAAACCACGGTTTTGTTAATACTACCACGATCGAAAACTGGAAAACTGTCAGCTGCAAAGAAAAAAATGTCTTTCTGTGTCAAACTCGGTACGTTGAGCATTTTTGTAGGTTTGTTTGTAAAATTCAATTAATCATTAATCCAATATCACTCTTAATGTTTTTTTTAATATGTAGGTTGAATTCAGTTTTGTTTTCTTTGTTTAACGTCTTATTAATAGCTTTGGTTATTTTGTGTTACCATGTAGAGGAAATAAATGCAAATCTACATTCTGTATGTGGTTTTTTTTTCGGGGGGGGGGGGTCATATTAGTTTCCTTTCACATCCTGCAGCAGGTATCTGATTTGATCCCCGACCTACAGGCGAGATTACAATTTTTTCAATTATCTAAATGATATAATCACTTTTAGATCGTCTATTCGAAGAGTAGGGGGAGGGCGGGCTATAGCAGTACCCACGGAGTCGGCATCCCACTTGGTTAAAGTTTTTGGGCAATCTGTGTTTTGGTGTTTAACTCAACTTTTGATGAATTTTACATTGTAATATGGTTACACCAATTGCTTTGAGGTTCCTTAGCAACAAATTGGACCATGTTTGCTCATTATTGGTCCAAAACACAAGTTTTTGGGCAAGTTCTGCAGGTTAAAGTTGTCGGGCAAATTCTTGTTCTTTTGAAACCACTGGGCAAATTTCAACAAAATTTGGCAGGAAGCATCCTTAGGGGAAGGGGATTCAAGATTTTACAAATGAATTTCCTGACCCCACAGGGGACAGATGGACGGGGCCAAAAGGGATAAATTTGACGGTATGCCTTTAAACGACATCTCCGACGAATTAGAAACTTGAAAATTTAGACATGGGGGATTTATGTATGGAGAAGTGTACAACACTTTCGGATTATTTATATGACCCCCAGAGTATGTAAAAATGGTAGTTTCTACTACTGCTTAGCGCTCAGCAGTTTAGGAGTTGGACGACTGGTTCGCCCGTTGTCAGTATAATATGACCGAGTGGGGTGTCCTGCTGGGTGTATTCAAACAGTATGTTTCAGTGAGGTAGCACTATAAAGTTCTGCGCTATCACAAGGAGACAAACACGAACATATCGCAGCCTCCCAAAACACACACGCATATACTACACACATGCATCTTGCACACAGGGGAGGCCGTCCTTAAATGACCATAGCTGTTGATAGGACGTTAAACAATACTAAACCGAACCAAGCCAGGGGCCGGGCTGGGGGTCATAGGGATCAAATATATTTGAAGAAAAAAGTATTTTATCATATCTAATCAAACATTTTTATGAGTTCTNGGTTACTTGGGGGATAGGGGTAAAATAACTTTTTCTGCACTGTTTGAAGTAGGAACTTGAAACTTTTAGACATGGTAGATACAGGAATGGGGACGTGCCCAGGCCAGGGGGGTGGAGTCAATTATATTTTTATAAAGTCTTTTAGCATATCAAATCAAACATTAACAACAGTTCTACATTTTACAGTAATTTATTGTTGCATATGGTAATCGGGTGTGTGTGTAAGGGGTTACTTGGGGGGAGGGTAGCGGGAGTGTGTCCTCGACAATAAAGTTATAAATTAAGCTATTGATTTAAAATTGTATACATCGTTCTTTTTCAGGGCTCCTGGTTACTGGCCATGACAGCAAACTTCCAGCAGCATGTCTCTGTGGACAGGGGTCTTTATAACCTTATACATGTTGTGGACTCATTTTAAGTACATACATTATCCTACGTGAAGATTCGGACAAGTTATATGCCTATCCTATCCTTTGCTTTGATTGTGAGAGTTCTTCCGTGTCTTCTACGAAGGGGACATGTCAGAGTCGAAATTTGCAACCCCCCATTGCACCACTTGAGATCTTTTCATTTCCTATCATTCCTGTCTTCTTTCTTTTTCTATCTACTGTGTTGCAGGCGGTGTCTCCCTAGGCACCCGTCCTTATATGACTCTGGCTGTTAAACCCAAAAAAAAAATGTCATGACTTAAATTATTTTGAAATCGTAAATTTGATTTTAAAGATGTTTAAAGTGAACATATTTTTCTTTAATGATACTCTGAACATTTCATATTTGTTTAAATAGAAATGGATTGATTGATTTTCAATTTTGGAACCTGAAGACGAGTATTAAATTTCATTGACATTCTCCTTTTTATTGTTCTTTCACATGTGTTTTTAATTTTTTGAGGTTGCTAGAACGCTTGGACCAGGTGATCTAAGATTACCTTTTTTAATGGGATTTTATGTGGGAATCCCCTGCATTATTGGGGACTTGCACTTATGGGGACAAAAACACGACTGAAATAAATCTGCTGCCCCAATTGTACCAATTGGGATCTTTATGCTTATATCTTCTATCTAAATTTTGTTTACTAGTGCCTCGCTTTACTATACCTCAATTTAAATTGCATATCAGAATGTCAGTTTAAAATCTGTCTGAAATCGGCACATTCGTCGCATGAATGGATAAAGGGCTCATCTTATCCACAAAGCAAGTATGCAGGAGTTAAATGTGTGCGAAGTAGTGAAAGCGCGCGTCTGATGCCGAAGGCACCAAGCACAGCATACTGCCCGGTCATATTATACTGACAACAGGTGAGCAAGTTGTTGTCATTACCCTAAATAGTGAACATGAAGCAGGGAATAACAACTACAACTGTTAAGGACTTTGGTATGTCCCGACCGTGGGACAGAACCCATTGAGTTCCTCACCTGGGCGACCGTTCAACACTAAAGTCAAAAGTGAAGTGTTGCCAAGCAAGGCACTAGGAAATAAAAGATAGTTAGAAGTAGATGGAAATACAAAGATCCCAAATATTGCCATGGATGCAGCAGATGTGTTCCCACTGCATGTAACTGTCAGTATAACTACGACTGGGTGGAATGATGTGCTGGGTGCCTTCGAAATGGTTGTACCGAAAGCACAATAAAATTGGCTTTAGATCTTCGCTATCACAAAGAGGCAAATACACCACTATATTCTGACACTAGCACACACAAAAAACATGCAAGAATACACAGCACAAACGGAGACACGTCCTTAAAATAAGTTGATCGAATGTTAAACCATGGACGAAGCAGCACATCACTGTCAGCTCCCAAATCCGTGTGGGATAGTACTTTTAGAATATCTAAAGCTTTTGAACATTTATCTTTTAAATAATAGTTCCGTCTAGAGTTAAACATGGATCATTGTGTAATTTTCGGAGTTGGCAGAAGTGCATGCATACCGTTTTTGATTTAGATAATCTAAAGCAATTTTCACTTGCCCATGTCTGAACTTTGTTTAGACACAGTTGCAGTTCCCTTTTTCGTTCAAAGCTTGACCTCGGTTCCATTATATATGGATCAGCCCGCAAATCATATTTGAAGATGCTTGAGTCAGGGGTTTCGTCTCGTTGTAGGTGTTTTTCGCACATCACCAGCCGCAAGCATCTACGTTGAAGCAAATGAACCGTCATTTGATGATAGAAGAACAAAATTATGCCTACAGTTTGCTTACCAATTAAAATCAAATCCAGAAAACCCAACTTTCCAATCAGTAGTGTATCCAAAGTATACACAGATTTTCGAACGAAATAAGAAACTGATCTCGCGTTTTGGAATACGACTTCAAAAACTACTGGAAAATTGGATTTTGACCTATCATTAATCGAAATTGCTATACCCGATATTCCACCATTGACAATTCGACTGCCTGAAGTAAATTGAGAATAACACAATAATCGGGATTTCCTTCACATAAACTTTGATATACGGACGGCTTTAAATTCCAAGAAGCTACTGCCGTTGGTCTGGCTTTGGACGAAATTGAAAATAATAAATTTAACAAACAATAATTTGTTCTGACTCTTTGTCACTATTACAAAGTAATAAAAATCGAAATTTGAACATTATTCTCACACAAACATCGACCTTCGTATTAACAGAATTTTATTGTTTTGCCACCTGATCTTGATTTGGATACTAGGTCATGACGGAATAAACGGAAATGATAAGGTGGATAAAACTGCTGAAGCAGCCCTTCACCTACAACCAAAAGATGTTAAACTGCATTTTTCTGATTTAAAAACTTCTATAACAAATTTCATTAAGACCAGTTGGCAAAATAAATAGTCTGAAGAATTAAACAGCAAGTTATTTGAAATTCAACTTAAGGATGCACTCTTCTGAGGTTTCAATCACGTTCAAGTCTCGTTTTGATCTGGTGTAATGGGTTTTTGTAATATTTAAAAAATTATGATCAAGTTTATAAGCAAACACGCATCTGAAAAATCTGTCAAAAAACTAGATGCCTGTTGTGTGTAGAACTTTTTTTACAAGAATTTTAAAAAATTACCAATTCCGCGGCCATTTTGAAAATGTGTATTAATGTGTATTTCGTGCGCTTCAAAAAGGCCAAAATTGCACCTTTTTGACACTAGATTGATCACCTAAATTGTCATTGTGTCGCCAATTTTGCTGACAACTTTATAATTTTTAATATGATAAAAATAATATGCAACAAACTGGAAAAACCCCGAAAAAAGGTAAAAAAAAATAACACAAATGATAATGGGACCAAAAAAGAAGCACACTGACCCCTCATTTTTGTAGATGTTTTAGAAAGAGAAACACATTTTCATTTCATTCATTAAATATAAAAAAAAAAGTTTAATAGCAGAACATTTTATAGCAAGCGTTTAATCTGCAAAAAAAATGGTAAAAATGAAAAATAGGGGGTAGGGGTAACTAAAATCGGTTTTCTGAGTTGAAAGAATAGGATTAAGAAATTTAACTTCCATAATTAAAAAAAAAAAAAAAACAGCAATTCTACAAACATTCATACATATCTGATAACACGTTTTGTATGAATTTGTTCTGCAAATGGTCAAAACCCAAAACCCAAAAAATCACCTAAAATCACATGTTGTGTTAAATTGGTATCTTTGACCGATCATAGCACAAAAAAGATCACACCGACATATTATTTTGTTTGCATTTTCTACTATGCCATTAACTCTTTTTTCAAAAAATCCATATAAGAAAAAAAGTTTATATAGGATTTTTTTGACTTCTCAGAGGTGTACATCCTTAATGATGCATGTGAAACAAGTAAAGCAGACCGCAGAGAGGAATGTGTCCTCTCGCGACTGCGCATAGGCCATACCTACATCACACATGGCTACATTTTGCGTAAGGAAGACCAGCCTTATTGCATGCGATCAACCATTCACAGTCAAACACTATATGTTTGAATAGGCTGATTTCAAACAAATATGTGACAGATTTTATGATGCACCGTCTATGAAAAGATTATTCGATACTGTTTCTGTGTGCAATTAATATTTGACTATTTACACTCTGTTGGTCTTTACAATAAAATATGATATTGTTCAGCCAATTTGTTCGATATTGATGTATTTCTTTAATCCTTTACAAATATTAAGCTATTAAGTTTTGGTTTGATGTGATTATTTTCATGAATGTCTCTTTTTACAGTATTTTTGGCCATAAATGACTCACATTGTCTATGGGCCGTTAAACAATACAAAAACAAAACATAAAAAACGTTAAACCATGTTCAACCTTATTTTCTTTGAAGTTAATAAGTTCAATTGTACCAAATACCTTTGAACACATTACTTTTAATCACCATGAAGCCTATGATGACGACTGATATTTGACTAGTACCATACTTGAATACAGTGCTTAATAATGTTATCAAACAAATGACGAAGACTTCAGAATAACCAAGAGTCTCTGGCTAATATTTAATCAGTTGGTGGGTGGATGAGTGACATAAACATTCCTCAAATAAATGGCCATGACCTTCTTGGTCACTGGAGTCAAATATGGAAATAATTAAACATCTTCTTCTTATTTGTCAAAAGACCTAAGGTGATTTAATCAGTAGTATGCTATCTTGCAGTGTTATATCGTTTTATTTCATAAAGATGACCATGACTCTTTTTCAAGGTCATAACGCTCATATATGTCGAAAAGCTTTAAACACTTCTGTTAAAGAATAACCAAGTGGGTTATGATGCATGCAATTGGCATCATATTTGAATTATTTAAAAAAATTCAACCAATCGTAAGAAGCGATAAATGTAGGATCTGGGTAAACCAAAATAGGCATGCTGCCCATATTTCTTTATATTTATCTGTTTATCTCACCAGCCCTCGTTCTCTTCATATGACCTTGATGGTTCGGAGAATATTGAACCATGCACCAAATGTTATACACTATTGCACCTTAAACGGCTTAATTGTGACAGGTTCAAGAGGTGAACGTTGAAGTCAGTTAACGAAATTACATTTGTGATCGATTTTTCATCGCGATAAAGGCAAAAAGAAATTTATCTTGTGAATAAGTAGTCTTTTTATGCATCGCAAACTGTCTACAAGGAGTCAGCTCAATCGATAACGTTAATGCCAAGTGCTTCATAATTTGTAATGTATTGTCCTTGTCCCTAGAACTATTTATTCGGTTAAGATCTAACACACACAGAACAAATTAAAATAATTGAAATATAAAGTAATACTTAAATCATAATACTGCATCAAGGTTACGATCAGTTGTATCGGTGATACATGTAAAAAATGGAATGTATCTAACATATTAGCAGATTTCGACCAATATAATTCACTGTTGAGCAAATGTGACGCAAGGTGTAAAATTGAATTTTTGAATGGCCATTCAGCAGGCTGTTTGCGTTTTACATTAATCACCACAACGTCGGCAAAACTTCGAAAAACAACTCAACTGACAACATCCATTTGAGTTCCGAACGGCAAATGTCCGGGGAAACCAAAATGTGGTTTGATTTCAACCAGAATTGTACGGAGGCAACGCTGAAAAAAGAGCGCAGAACTTCCATACTCTCTGGTTCTGTGAAAACCGGAAGCAGTCTTTCACGTCTTATCCAGACAGGAAGTTATTATCCATCAAGTCAATAAGTGCGTTGGATTCCTCGATGTCGCCGACACAGTTACTGATCCCTCTCCCCCAGCACAGTCTACGTTCACACCTGGGGCTACAAGTCCTCTTGGCCAAAACTGTAACGGAATCAATAAATTGTGTAATACATTTCAATCACTTAAGCACCATATACGAACACTGCCATGGACACCATACACCCAAATTGATTTTCTTAATGGATGTATGATCCGGAAAGCGTAAAACGAGGATAACAGAGGACAGGATCAAAAATGTTCAATTATAGTGAGATGTCTTATTGTAAGCTAGAAGTTGATACGTAATCATACTTGATAACATATATAGCTTACTCCCCGTCTGGGTCACTCACTCAGCAATTTGTTTCGTTGGGGTTGGCTTATATCAAAGAAGCTAAAATTGGTCTGCTGTCACCATGACAATACTTGTAGTTCCTATGTTACATCCTCATTTTTAGCTCACCTGGCACGAAGTGCCAAGTGAGCTTATGCCGTGGCGCGGCGTCCGTCGTCCGTCCGTCCGTCGTCCGGCGTCAATATTTTACTTTAAATGACTTCTTCTGAGTAACCGAAATGCCTAGGGTGATGATATTTGGCCAGAAGCTTACTGGGATAAAGGGCTACAAAGTTTGTTAAAATTAATGACCTTCACCCATTTTCAAGGTCACAGGGGTCAAATATGTTAAAAACTGTAAACATCTTCTTCTCGATAACCAAACTGGCTAGGGAGATGATATTTAGCCAGTAGCATGCTTGGGTGAAGGGCTACCAAGTTTGTTTAAATGATTGACCTTCAATTATATTCAAGGTCACAGCGGTCAATTGTCTTAAAAAACCTTGAAACAACTTCTTCTGAATAATCAAAATGCCCAGGGTGATGATATTTGGCCAGAAGCATGCTGAGATGAAGGGCTACCAAGTTTGTTAAAATGAATGACCTTCATCCATATTTAAGGTCACAGGGGTCAAATATCTTAAAAACTTTAAACCACTTCTTCTGAATAACAAAACTGGCTAGGGAGATGATATTTAGCCAGTAGCCTGCTTGGGTGAAGGGCTACAAAGTTTGTTCAAAGGAATGACCTTCACCCATATTCAATGTCACAGGGGTCAAATATGTTTTAAACAACTTCTTCTCAGTATCCAAAATGCCCAAGGTGATGATATTTGGCCAGTAGCATGCTGAGATGAAGGGCTACCAAGTTTGTTCAGATGAATGACCTTCACCCATATTCAAGGTCACATTGGTCAAATATGTTAAAAACTTTAAACCACTTCTTCTGAATAACAAAACTGGCTAGGGAGATGATATTTGGCCAGAAGCATGCTGAGATGAAGGGCTAGCAAGTTTGTTTAAGTGAATGACCTTCAATTATATTCAAGGTTACAGGGGTCAAATATGATTTAAACAACTTCTTCTCAATAACGGAAATGCCCAAGGTGATGATATTTGGCCAGTAGCATTCTGAGATGAAGGGCTACCAAGTTTGTTCAAATGAATGACCTTCACCCTTATTCAAGATCATAGGGGTCAAATATGTTAAAAACTTGAAACAACTTCTTCTCAATAACGAAAATGCCCAAGGTGATGATATTTGGCCAGTAACGTGCTGGGGTAAAGGGCTATCAAGTTTGTTCAAATGAATGACCTTCCGCAATATTCAAGGTCACAGGGGTCAAATATGTTGAAAACATTAAACAACTTCTTTTGAATAACCAAAATGCACAGGGTGATGATATTTGGTCAGTAGCATGCTTGGATGAAGGGATACCAAGTTTGTTCAAATTAATGACCTTCACCCATATTCAAGGTCACAGGGGTCAAATATGTTAAAAACTTGAAACAACTTCTTTTGAATAACCAAAATGCCCATGGTGATGTTATTTGGCCAGTAGCATACTTGGATCAAGGGCTACCAAGTTTGTTAAAATGTATGACCTTGAATCATATTCAAGGTCACAAGGAGCAAATATGTTCAAAATATTTAAAGAACTTGTTCTGAATAACCAAAAGGCTCAGGATGTTGATATTTAGTCAGTAGCATATGCTGGGATCAAGGACTACTATGTTTGTTAAAGCGCATGACCTTGACTTATTTTCAAGGACACAGGGGTCAAATTTGTTTAAAATCTTTAAACGACCTCTTCTGAATAACCATAGGTCCCAGGATGTTGATACTTTGCAAGTTGCATCCTGAGATGAAAGGCTATAAAATGTGTTCAACATAATGACTTTGTTCGACTTTCAATCACAGGGTTAAAATGTTTAAAAAAAAAATAACAGGCTCTTTTGAATGAATTTTAATCATAAATACTGATATTTTTCCTGTCGCTTTATTTTAGATCACTTTTAAGGTTACAAGGGTGAGATTTATACCAGGTGAGCGATGCAGGCCCATTGGACCTATTGTTTGTCTGCGCTATGCAACTTTTCGACAGTGTCTCCTTATGTACCCGTCTCCATGTGACTTAACGCTTCCAAGGACGTTAAGTACAAGGTATGGACCGTTTTTCATGGATCAATTTGGTGAAGATTTTTTAACGTCACTTGAGTAGAATTTGTCATTTTGGGTTGGTTGCTTTTTTATCTTAACAAAACTAATTAACAAAACTAATTCTACAGTGGTCACCACATCAGTCGCCCGGTAGGATTAAGGAGTGGGATAATTTGCAGATTCTGTTCAAATAACAATTCGTGTGTCGGGGGAGCTAACACATATCATATCTGGCAGTATTCGGACTGGTAGGACATCAAAGGTACAGGTATACTTACAACATTGACCACGAGGTGCGTTTGATTTGACGATGATTTTCTGATCAGCACTTTGGACGATGTGTTCAAAGTTAGCAGATCTCACGTAGCAGAGATTGGGATTAGCATAAATCAACACGTTCCCGTTGGTCACGTTTCGAAGACTGGACAGGCCAAGCGATTCAACAGATGTAACCATGATGTTGACTGTTGACGAAAACCTACAACACAGGACAATCTTGTTTAGCATAACAATATCTTACACACTTGAATTGATCTGCCTTCAAAGATATCACCCATTTATTACGCGGATGAACACATCGACAGGTGCGTCAAAAATATTTTGTTGTCGGTGAATGGCCGTAAAACGACTAAATATCGCATCCATCATTTTCATTAAAATTAAAGTGTATTGTGACCATGTTCAATAATATTATGTGCGTAACTAGAAATGTAGACCACACTTACGTCGGAGAGAGTTCTCTTCCTTGAATAATTTCCAAATTTTGAAAATAATCAAGATGGCTAAAATGGGGGTGTTTTCCCTGTATGAGTAGAAAGCCGGTGATTTCCCTTACTTCTGAGAACGCCCACAAGGCGTCGGGATGGAGACCGGGTCGGTTGTAATATGCGTCTCTGAAAAAGAATAACCACAATTTGAATACCATTTGATAGGAACATCTAGTTACATTTCACACAGTGCCTTATAAGATGGTCTGGAATATAGTTCTTTTGCTAGACAACTATACTTCGAAATATATATCGGCGAAATGATATGGTTTGATTCTAGTTTTTTTACGTCCTATAAACTGTTGAGGTCATTCAAAGATATGCCTCCATGTGTGTAATGTATGCGTGCTTGTATGTATGTGCGCTTGAGGCAGGGTATTTCAATGTATTGCCCCTTAATTGCGATAGCACGGACCTGATGCCGACTCTTTAAAATGATTCTTTACTGAAATACCATGCCAAAGGCACGCAGCCAGTTATAGAAAATTGTGTAAAATATGGACATATTGGATATTTACATGGGTTCCCTTGAAAACAGTACAAATAGAATAAGAACCTCTGTCCTGGAGCGATTACAGGCTTTTTTCGTCATCACTCGCCACATGTAAATGTGGGTCCAATTAAATTTATGACACGCCCTTATATAGAGAACCGGAGTGATGACAACACATCCCCAATCGACTTTTACCTTTGTTCAATGTTTGTTAGGATAGTAAACAACATTTACATTTGAATTGCACATTACATTTCAAAACTTGAATCGGCTTGCCGAATAATCAAAAAGCAACATGCATATTTAAAAATAAAAAAAATAAAATTTTCGTTTAATCAAAGTAACATACGGGGATGATATCTCCTTGTCGACACCTCGAAATGAGTAAAATAAAAGTGCGAAATTAAATAAAGTTGGCTAAATTTTACCTGATGTGGACAGAATAGAATTCAGACCATTACTATTGTCTAGGTTATACCGAGCCTTGGGGATAGTATCATACTATCACTTGTAAACACGTACCCATCAAATGTCGTTTGAACAATTCGTATACTTCCGTCAATCTTCGTACAACCCCGGAATTGCCAAACGTTGTAGACATGTAGAAACTCGGGTTCGTCTATCCCTCTACAGACTGAAACATTGAATAGCCATTGATAGAAATTTTCTAAAATACTTTAAAAAGTCTCAAATTTCTTAATGAAGCAGTAAAATATCACTTTAATTCTAGACAACCTCAAACTGTTTGTCCATTTAAAAGTTGTAACTAACACAATCCACTTTTCGTGTTGACGTTTGTCTTTTACCCTTGCGTTTGTTTGATTTCGTTTCCTTTAACATTTTTTATCAAACTTTTATTGCCCTTATGACTTTTTCTGTATTAAAGGACCTTAAAGAATACAATTATTGATTAATCGCCAGTGATGATTATTTTATTAAGAGTTACATAAGGTTCCCTCCCAGCTATAGCTGGTATCACCATAGTGGTGATTTCCTGTCTAAATTTATGTCACAATGAATTGATGGGAACAATATATACAACGTAGCGCGAACCCACATTAGTATCCAGCAGACGACAGAGAACAATAATATGAATCACATTAAGCTGTGTGCGGGAACGGAACCTTTCTCTTTATTCTCTGTATCATATCTGTACTTAGCAGTATTGCTTTGGTGTTGCTAAGGATGCAGAGAGTATGTCATATATGCCAACTCATAACTTACTTTGAACTTAATTATACCGAGTGTCGATATGCTCATTGAACGACTTAGCAACACAGAAGACCATAACTGATATTAACCATTCTATTACTACGCATATATATCGACGTTTGTTCAATATTCAACACGCAAACATGGATTATTGTTCAAAAGACCAACAACAACGCTCAAAGAACCATCGATATCCAGGTTCCTAGTCGAAAGCTCTACCACTGAGCTAAAGAGAAATTCCCTCCAGCTCGAAGCTAGAAGGTGACCGTAATCCTATGTAAATTAAAACCTGCCACCCATGTATTTAAATACTGACACCAGTATAACGAAAAAGATATATCGTATCAGCAAACGGTAGTACTGTCAAATGGTCTTTTTTACTTCATAAGGATAGCATTAGTAAAACGTAGTTTTGGTGTGGACTTGTTTTAAAATCACAGATGGGATTTTTTTCAAAAGAATACAAATGTATATACCAGTAAAGAAATGCTGCATGCTGTCCCGAATTTATTTAGATTTATATTGCATTGCTAATGTAGAGGCAAATATATTTCTATGTTTTGACGAAGGTGATGCCAGTATCATTTTAGGTGAACTATATTTCTTGCATGAAGTAATTGTGTACTTATTTAACATTTACTTAACATCATTACATGGCTTCCGCGATAACTTGTCACATCAGTACAGAGGTTTTAAGACCACAATTTGTGTTTGACATTCTTTCTGCAAGTAATGCTAGATCGTTGTTTGACGGATAATCCGATGGTCTTGCTTCCACGAGTTATTACATCACAGTCACGGTTTTGCATGACGAGGCAAAACTTCCGACCCCACGACATAAGCTCGTTCAAAACTTTTGAAACGACAAACTTCAAAAAATATTGTTTTATTGAAACCAGCTTGTAATAATTTAGTTAACTCCAAATTTTGGAGAATACTAATATAAGTTTGGCACGAAAATACTGAAAAGCACACTCTTGAACACATGTGAATAAACAAAGCTTTCAAATAAATACAATACAGCTCAGGTAATTTTATTCAGCATTAAAATCAAATAAATGTCACTGTATATGTACCGAACTTATGCTGTTAACCTATACAAACAATAGTCTGGGGCCCAATCCCTATGTTACAAAAGAATGAATAGAAACGTATGTAAAATAAAAATGTCCATGTTATTAATGCGTCACATACACCTGTATGTTTGAATATCATATTATTATAAAGCATTTCATGTGCAGGCGTACAATTGATAACATCTCTATAAAAATATGAGAATATCGCAGAAATAGTATTATCAAGCGCTATCTGTTTGTCCTTAACCACATGGCTTATATATCCACACATGTGCTTGTAAGTGTGTTGGGTGTATATTGGTGTTCTGATTTTTAGTGTATAATGGTGTTCTGTTTTGTGGTGGGAACCTACATCCGACGGCAGCATACTTACAGATGTGTTATAACTCAGACCGAGCGTGTAACACCCACCCGGAACAGTTGTTTATTTTCAAACTTCGGATCAGAAACTTAGCCAGTACAGTAGCCATGGCTGTCCATGGGTCTGCACATTGGCAGTACTAGTGTACTTAAAACTGACCACATCTGTCTCCCGAGAGCTATGTCATTATTGTTTACGTAAAAGTGGTCGACCACAGCGTTTGTTAGAAAGCTGCGTTATTGTTTATGTACCAGTCAGGGCACCTGTTGAGTGAGGATTAATGGTAATCGACTTAATCTAGCTAATGGTCACTTAATACTCACTGACCACCCCCACAGCAGGATCGGCGGTGAATGCTTCATAGGACAAATCTAGGTCAGTGTATCGTATCAAGTTTAACCTACTTTGAAAATATGATTAAAATCAATTTCTGAAATAATATCGCTTTATTCATACAGATTTAACATTTTAATTTGTTCTTTTTTTCAAATGTATTTCGTGAGCGCGATATTCGTCATTAGGGTTGGCAGTTTAACACAATTTACAAAATTTTAATCTGTAAAGGAGGAAGCAGCTTAATTCTATTGTTTAGTTATGAACATATGGCAGACATATTGGTCCGGAATACTTGAAGTATTATGTACCGGATGTTTAATATGCTTCATTTCAAAGATATCATTCAATGCAATAAACCCGTGGTTTAATTTCGAGAGAGATTTATTTTAAATCATAGCTTATTTAACATTCAGGTGATAACATGCAACAGCATTAGAATACACGGCATTTTTTAACAGATTAGCGTTGTTGATTCATTTTAAAGATTAATTAAATCAGTTTAAAGCATCTCTTAACCTACATTTAAAAGATATTAAAGATTTAACACGTCAAAAGCAAAATATATTAAAACAATTGGGAAAATAAATGGTCAGAAAAAATCAACAACAATATTTGCAATTAAAAACCTAATGTTGGTTCATATATACAACAAGTTTCCCTCTCGTGACTGTGCATAGGCCATACTTGCGTCACACATAGTTACATTTTTTTGGAAGAAAGACCCAACCTTATTGTCGTACATGTGAGCAGCTATTTACAATTAAACATTTTATGATTGATTGTGTTGATTTCTAAGAAGTACGTGACGTATTATATATTGTGCCGTCTATAAAAGGTTTATTTGATACAGTTTTCGTGCAATCAATGTATGAGTGTAAAACTGAATTGGTCTTTATAATGACATATTATATTTTTTACAACCAATTCGTTCTCTCTTGACGTTTCTTTTCATTTGTTCACCTTGTACCTTTTTATTTCTTGTTTGATGCTTTTTTTCTATTAATGTCTATTTTTACATTGTTGTTTGGTCCGAAATACTCAAACTGTTTATGGAATTATTCTATTGATTTCACATGTGTACGAGGTATGATTAGCGCTTTACCAATTGGCAATAAGAAAATCAGTGATCTCTACTGATCCTATTGTTTTCGATATAAACGCATTTTATGGTAAAACATATTCTTCTGGGTTTTAAAAGATTGTGCACATTTGTGAATACTTCTGTTTCTATAAAAGGTTAGTTACCTATGTGTTTTTGTTGACATTACTTTTGTTAATTTACCTTAACAAGAGTATATACCTTGAAATATTCTTGTTCAGGTGCTTATTGATGATTAGTAATACTATTTTTGACTGTTTAACGTTTATAACTTCACATAAGAATAAATATGCATCCATCTTTCATCGCAATGCAAGATTTAAACAACAGAACTAATTACGGGAGGGCGGAATCACGAACAGGTCCGCTTTTAACATCTACGCTTTGTTGATCCCAATACTGATACGGATATGTTACTACAGAGCGCCTTCAATCACGTTTACGTCTAACTTCACCGTCATTAAATGCTAATGTTTGGTAAATTACGTCGTCGAATCCGCCATATAAGTTGAAACACTTTGAACTTTTTTCAAGAGCAATAGATGACATGTTCCACGTGGAAAAACCAGCTTCGTTAACAAAATATCGTACGTAATGAATGTGTTTTGACTACATATACGTTGAATATAGTATCTAATGAAGCCAGACCAGGCTGATGATAATCATTGCCGTACATCACAGGACAATCTAGCATTAAGTTATCAAAGGTACTGTCAGCTTAACGTTATGATAATGATTAAATATTTCGATTAATATATTTCCAAATTTCTTACAACTGGTTTACAAAGCCCTTATACCATACCCTGTATTGACAAGGACCTACCTTTCAGAAACAAAACTTACAAAAGACTTTCTTTGGAAAAAAAACTAACGTTTTAAAACAATATGTTGTCTTAAAATGTAATCAACCCTCCACAGATATTAATTTATATGTTTTATCTCCATCTTACTATAATGAATCAGCGTATTGCATAAGATTATATTTAGTTTGAAAAGCAATCGCACATTGCATGGGTTTTTTTCTGGCGATATCCTTCGCTGATACAATCTTTTTAAATATATGTGTTTATTTTATAATTGTTTTCCTATTTCGGTATAAGCAATATGGCTATTCTCGTCAATGTGCAAAAAAAATGTATAATTTGAGTATCGAGAAAAATTATGGTGTTCGTTTCACGTCATATCAGAACATGATGAGCATCAAGATAGGACACTAGAGAGAAAGATTCACAGTATTAAAATGCGGACAGGATATTTGTTCTTGTTCTATTAAACAATTATGATGAAGATAACTACCTCAGTAAGATATTATACATTAATAGTTTTTTAATTAATTTTAATGTATCTGAACCGTTCTGGATTGCCTTCATGCATGGGAAGTATGAAAAAGTTGGTTCACCTTGGGGTGGGTTTTTTTGGTATTTTTTGTCCGTTATGGGTTTTTCACGTCTAATAGTACTTAAAACTGGTTATTGTTACTCTCTGCTATCATTTAGGAGAACGGCACAACTGGTTCACCAGTTGTCAGTATGATGTGACTGGGCGGAATGCAGTGCTGGGTGCCGTTGGCAGGGTATTTCAGCGAGAAAAGCACTATAAAGTCGGCATCAGATCTGCGCTATCACTAAGAGGCAATGCTCAAACATACCCTGCCTCCGGCACACACACAAGCAAGCCAGCATACACAACACACATGGAGGCCTTTAGCTGTTAATAGGGCGTTAAAAAAACTGGCGATGGTCAAGGTCATATGAAGGCCGTGCCTAAAGATGATAGGTTTGGTTTTATATGGTTTATATGATAACAGCTAAAGACAAACGGCATTGCTTCTTTAGGGTACAATCTCACTGAAATTTCAAAACCTAGAAGGGTATCATGACAACCAACCAGTACCATTAAACCAATTACCGGTAACAGTTGTATTATTATTTGGAAAATGGAACATGTTACGTGATTACGTCATAAATTTTACTTCGTAGAAAAATGAATTTAATCAGCATATGCTTGTATATTATGATGGAAAATATAACTTGGAAAATGTAGCGGCATTCGTTAATTTCTTTTTTTCGACATTTTCACCCTCGTTAAATATAATATATGCCCACATACGTAGATTAATATCTACTATATTAAGATCGAGTCTATGCTTTATCTATGATGGGAGCTGATTGAGGGCAAGCCTTTCACATTTTGGGTTGCACTCTACATCCATACTTTTATTGTATCATACTTTTTGTGATAATGTAACAAATCAAAATATCTTTTCGAACAGGAAATATGTCTACAATCCATAACTACTGGAATTTTTTTGATAGGACCTGTTAAATATACCCTCTTTTTATTTATGAATTTGAATTCTTTTACCTTTTCGTTTGTTTGATGTCATTTCTTCTAAAATGTCTTTCTATGTTTTATCAGCCCTAAAGACCTCTTCTATGTTTATGGACCATGAGGAATGTTATAATGATTATTATTATTGTATTTATCCTATTGATGTTGTGGCATTTATGTTTTTTAAATCAATAGAACTGCAAATAACTTAACGAATATTCATAATTGGTTTTTATTTTTCATAATTTTGAAAGAGTCTTTCTGTTTATGACTAGTTTCAGTTTCAAGTTAAGATAAAACTTACCTCTACTCTCTATCTCCCCTGCTCCAATAAGAAGCAGTATGATAGCAATAAGACCCCCCTGTGTGTTTGCATGAGACATAAAGGCCATCCCGAATCTGGAACATAAAAAAGGTATAGTGTTACACATATGTGAAATGAGTTTTCATTTACCGTTAATATTCAACAAGAAGTGAAAATATAAAAATATACCGCTGTTTCAACACAACGTAACAAAATATGACACCTTTTCAATACAAAAACAAAATAGATACCATCTCGTAAACACAAAGAGGCAAATTATATCACAGCGTCAACACAAAAGAGCAATCTACATTTCATTGGCCGTAAAGACCTCTTCTGTGTTGATAGGCCGTTTAGACCTCAAACTAACAAGAGAACGAAACGTACCACAGCATCACTATACAAAGCCAGACATATTACAGCATCAATAAACATGCACAAAACTGACACGCGGTCACAAAGGCATCAACAGCAACCCCATCACACACAAAATTACATTACTAAACCACAAGATAAGCGATAGATTTACACATAAAATGTCAATTTCTCTTGTTACAATCGGCAAAGTAAGTCGGTCATCCAGGATCAATGTGGTGGCGAGTGTATTCTTAGTCGTGGCAGACATTGAACAATTGTAAAACGCGTAACGATGGTGACCGTAAACTTCACAGCAGATAAGGATAATTTCCCCGGCAGATAGACATTTCTAAGAAATACCACTGAAGTGAAATGACCCGTATTTTCGTCACATGATTATTTGGCAAACACGGGCTTATGATGTTCTTTTCCTTGAGGCTAATTCTAAAAAATTAAATACGACTTGAGATTGAGTTAGAAAACAAATAGAAAGATAGATACTTGTTATACTTACGTCAAAAGAGCAATCCACGGAAAACAGATGTTCACGTCGATTTTGAGGTTAAAAATGATTTTCATATAATGATTGTATTAAATATGGACAGAAAACTTCATTAAAATGTCACTAGAAGATAATACCGTAATGGACTTGCACTAAACAAAATTGATTTGACTAAAATAACAAAAGAGGCAGACACACAACGTCTTAAATCTCTCTTTTTTTCAGCAACTAATTGGATTTTGTTGTTTAAGATATATTGATTCCATTGATAGTTATAATTCCATTTCCAGTACAGGATCGACCTTAGCGTCACCATAATAAGTATTAAAGGAGTCGCCGGGAGTGCTATAAGCATCCAGCTGAGTGTGATTATATGTTTTCATTGTTCATGTGTCAACTGCAGGTTTATCCTCATCGACAAAACATTTAGTGGACGGCAAGAAATATCTTTTTTCAGCCACGTAGGCGGATTCTTTAAAAGGTGCGTTCGTTAACAACTGTGGTCCACTTGCTTGCTTGGTCAATGACAATTAAATAATCTTATCGATGACTTTAAAAGTAGTGCAGATGAATGTTTAATGTTTCGTTTACCACCTCAAAAAGCAAGGATAATACAATTTTGAAAATACATTGAAATTTAAATGTCTAAACGCAATCCATGAACTCTCGTGTAAGAAGCATTGTTAGATTTCATAAAATGTTAAGTCAAATTTTCAAAATCTTTTTTTTGTTAAATCTATTACCATTTAAGTACATTTGTTGTATATTATTTAAAGTGGGAGTTTTGAGGTACAGAACATAAATATTGTGCTTTTATCTTTGATCTTTATGAATATATTACTGGTTTAAGATATCGTGATTTATCCTTAAGTATATGAAGCTTGATGCAATTTATTCGTGCCTAGGGCCAAGAAATTAGAATATCAATTTACAAAATGTCAACAAAGATTTCAAGCAGTGCGCCGTTCGTCTAGTTTTAAAGTAGTATTCCTTTAAATTTTACAATATTACATAATCTGTTATTGCTTTGTCCTTTTAATGTGTATGTAATACGGCTTCAATAGACTAGAGACCCGGTATGGTTGAGATTTACGAATAACAAAAGTAAGCTTATTACCTGCCTTATGTCACAGCACTTAAAACTGTTTTGTTGTAATATCGAAACATCTGGACCACGGTCCAATAGATTAGTGTCGTTATAAACGTGAATCGTAAGTTTTTTTCATTATGCTGATATTTAATCAAGCTATAGAACTATATAAGAATAACATCGGTACCATTGTGTACATCTTTGCTAAATTTTAATTTGATGGGCACGATATTAAACGTGCGTAACGTACCATCATAATATTATTAACTTCTAACGTTTTTGCTCACAGATTAATAAGTGGGTTGGTTGGTTGCTTTGGGTTTAAAGTATTGTCAACAACTAAGGTCATTTCAAGACGTGCCTCCATGTGTATTGTGTATGGATTTTTGTGTGTATGTGTGCTAGAGTATGTTGGTGTACTTGCCTCCTTGTGATAGCACGGATCTGATGATTACTTTATATAGTGCTACCTCACTGATATACCATGCCAAAAGCACCCAACATAGCATTCCGCCTTGTCACATTATACTGACAACGGGTGAACCAGTTGTTGCCATTACCCAAAATGCTGAATGTTGAGCGGGAAACAACGTCAAATTTTAAGGACTTTGGCATGTCCCAGACTGGGGACCGAGTCTATTGCGTTCCTGAGAACAGTAATGAAGAAAAACAAGAACGTGCATTTATTCTGAATAAATGGCATTTTCTAAACGCCATCTCAATCTTCTTTATAAATGAGTTATTATAATTTACGTTTAAACTTGTTGATATCGTAGTTTGTGCGGTTTGAAATTTTCACTGCGGTACCCTCTTAGTGCATGCATACTCTAATTCAACATTTTCCTTATTCAAATCCAACTGTGAACATCAATATCTCATTAGATTGATACATTATGACACTAATCATTCTTGCTTTGGATGTATTGTGTAAATGTTAAAATCAGACTCGTAGACAATGTATTTTCGGTCGACAGCGTGGTACTGTACATGTTCACTTCCCAATGAAAGGCCCAGATATCGCGCTATTTCGGTCGTAGCTATTTTTATCACCGGCTTTCCTTCAAGATATAACTGACCACACTGGACGTTTGCATCAGGTCTTGTCATTATCAACTACGTAAACTTTCGTTAGAAGGTTTGCATTTGCAGTATTTAATCGATTTTTAGAGTGCCATATGACTATATATCTTCATATTATGAATGTTTCGTGACATGGTAATCATGTGTAGCATTTCTAATAAAAAGTTTAGGTGTGTACATAAAACTGCTCCATGTTATAAGCAATATTTTCGTTGATATATAATGTTATTGAAATTGTATAGGTTAGTTAAACGTTTATGGTTGACAAGTTCGCAATAACATCGACATACAGGAAAACAAGTATTGAATCATTTATGTTTGACCTACAAGGTCGTATTTGATCCTCCGTTTCGATCGATAAACTTTCGAAAGTAGATTTCTTTCTCCATGTCATCTCTTTTATGGTTTACTGAATAATTTACCTGGGTGCTAATGTTCAGTGTTCATCAGTAGAACACATTAGCTTTGAAGACAGGGGACAATACTTAGGCCTCTATACGTGTTGATTGGATATTTGTGTAAACGCAACGGAATGGAACTAACGTACTAATGCGTTACCGCAGTACATCAACATACTAGGTTAGGCTTTCGTTGTGTTTGGGTACTTCAAAGCGTATAACATCAAATGATCGTTAGACATATACAGAAAGGAGTCACCTGTTTGACATCTATATGTTTGTTAATAGGTTAGTTTCCTTAGACATTTCCTTCGACCCCTACTACAGTTTCTCCAACTGAACCTCATTAGTCTACCTGATACTCTGATTCGAATAATATAGGGGGCTTAGAGACAGAATAGAGCAGTTGGATTTACCAGCATGCAACTGCCTGATCATAACACAACTAATAAAAATCATTTTTTTATAGTTGCCCGTATCTCCCATATCGCAGCCATCGCTTTAATAACGCTATTTCTTAGCGGATTCTTATCAAACTTAAGACAAATGTCAAACACAAGAATACCTCGATTTTCAATTGTGTTTTGCGATTTTGGTCTCTTCAATGTGCTCTTAATAGATATCACTGAACCCTCAATTCTGCAAGGGGGCGCAATTGTCGCCATTTACCATATACATGCAGTGAGATATAGCAGGTAAATTCTTATTTATTTTTCAATATTCATTAAACAAAATACAAAACAGAAGCCGCCCCGTACTCCCCAGGGTGGGAGGACACACATTCGAACCTGTACGGGATGTTTTTAACATGACCGGATGCATGTTAGGAGAAAATATAAGCCCGCTGTATCTCACTTCATGACATAAAAGGCGTCTAATTTAGGGGCCTTTGCCCCCTTTGCAACATTTAGGATCTTCATATTTCCCTCTTCTTCTTGAAAACCTTTTATTGTTAGTGCTTTGCTTGGCAATACCTCCTACTTGGTCTTCGTGTTGAGTATTAGCCGAAGTGGGGTAGGCAATGTTTTCTGCCCCCAGGCATGACATAAAAATATTTAAAAGATTAAAATGATAGTTGTTATTCCCTGCTTAACGTTAAGCATTAAGGGTCATGGAGGCACGTTCTCAAATGACATTAGCTGCTAATATGATTTTTGAACAAAGCAAAACCATAACAACAACTGGTTTACCCGTTGTCAGTATTATGTGACTGGGTGGAAGACTGTGTTTGGTGTCTGCGGCATGGTATTTAAGTGAGGTAGCACTCTAAAATAGGAATCAGATCCGCGCTATCGTAAGAAAGTCAATACTCAACATACCTAACCACAACAGCACGCATACATTACACACCTTGAGGTACGTCGTGTTTTCTCAATCCCCGAACTACAGGGATGTAGAATCAGTGATATCGTCTTTGGTTGTATTTGTGTGCTACAATAATCTGTCAATACTAACCTTCATATGGCATTAGCTGTTGTACAAAAGGAAGTCCCTGACTTTTTAAACGAGGATCTTGGCCCTAAACGTGAAGGAACTGCGTGCTCTTAACATCTCAGCAAGAGGACGCCCGTACCTGTGTTCTATTTTTTGTTCGTGATGAACTTACTGAAAAGGGAGGAACCTTGCTACAAGTGATGTAGCGGAGTCAAACTCCGAGTCGATTTGGAATTATATCCATGAAGACTATGTCATGGTCCGTTGTAAGATTTCTTCATGAAACCCTTTGCATTGACCATTTCAGGAAAATATACCGTCATAAGACTTTCAACACTGAATACATAATTTTACAAATTGTACGAGTGTGAACAAATAATAGACCTGCATTCTCACGAAAAATCGACAAACGTTATCGCGCAGATTAAGTGGGCACCTTGTTCACTGTCGTGAATTTATTAGTAAATGCATTATGTCCACTAGTGGTGACGTGAAATTGATTTTGACGTCGCAACAAAACGGAAGTCTAATAAACAAACAATTCAACAAGTTGCCTTGAATATCATACCCATACGATAAACATAGTCAGCAAAACTACAACAGAAATATTTTAGAACAAATCTGTTTTTGCGACAAACATAAAATGAGAAGGCGCAACCATTCTGCTTTAGTGGCTAATATCGCATTGGATGATTAAAGTGACCGAGAGTTACTGATTTTTGAGACACATTAAAATACTCTTTTAAAAGAATGCCAGGATTCATGAGGTGAAGTCAACACAATCGGTATAATCAGCATATTCTTCGAATTAAAGTATAGAAAATAGACTATATTTTATGTAGCAAGATAGCAACTAGAGGTTAATATCCTTAACACCTACGAATAGACCTGTTATGTCTCACTTCATAATTGTAATGGGAATATTTTAATGTGATCGGGCGGAATGCTGTGCTGGGTGCCTTCGGCATGGTATTTCAGTGAGATAGCACTATAAAGTCGCCATCAGATCTGCGCTATCACAAGGAGGCAATTACACCAACATACCCTGCCTCTAGCACACGTGCACTCATGCACAACACATGGTTCTTTAATGACATTAGCTGTTAAAAGGACGTTAGACAAAATATAACCAAAAAACGAAACCAGCCTGAACAATCAGGTTGTTTTCCCTAGTAATCTTCTCAAGAGGCATTGAAGAACAAAAATGTTTACTTCTACACTCGTTGTTTTTATTCTTAACTTTTCCCTATAGCTATCTTATCTTGCTGGGAAGAGCAATCAGATCACTGAAAGGATGGACGTTTTCTTCACCACAAATTGCATCAACGAATAAAGCAATGGTATCAATAATAATTAAGACACAATGAACATGTTTTTAATCCTGAAAAGAACTGAACACCAATCGACCAACTTTTAAGGTTAAAATCACATTCAATCAGTTGTATGATTCAATCAGTTGTATGATTCAATCAGTTGTATGATTGAACGGTAGAGAGAGGTAACCTGGTTTTACTGCTTGGTTTTCTATCAATATTTTGTTTCTTTTGCCTGAACTTTAAAGAATGTTTATAATAAAGGTAAGAAATTGTATGCCATGGATACAAAGCCTCAAAACGAAATTGAATTATTTTAACATCAGTTACATGGTGTTGGAGTTAATTTCAAAACGGCTTAATATATTGAACTTAGTTTTTCTTATGTCCATGATGATTTCTTTGTATTCACATAAATCAAATGTTTTCCCCGTATTCGCATTTAGTGATGGGAAAACGTGAGCTTAAAAGCAGCCCAACATTTATTCAAACATGACGTATATATATCTTATCTTATTTCTGAGAAACTCGAACTATACATTGTATTGGTGGCTTTATTTGCCGTTGCATCACAGCTTTGATTTATTTTAAAAACATCACACTTAACATAGTGAATACATAACAGGCCTGTCGACAATATCTGGTATTTTTTGGGTGAACAACCTACACTGTTTGTTTTACATCTTTAATCCCCCTGATCACAACAATTACACAATGCAAAATACAGCAACAATAAAAGCTGTCTGTTTAATAATATACTAATATATTATTATGTTCATTTAATTAATCTAAACGATGATATAGGATGATATACTTTATATATATAATTTGTTTTCTAGTTGTTGTTTTCTTATTTTGCATCTCTTAGACATTTTAACCATTCATGTTAGCGAGCGTTGCATCGCCCTAAAGGACCCATATTGTCGACGGGCCTTTAAACAACATCGAAAAGGAAAATATATATAAGAAAATATTAAAACAGAGTCGAGTGAACACACCTCAGTTTTCGTTTCCTGCGTTCTACGTTCGCTTATGTGTCGGTTATAGCAAATTTGAGCTGTAAAAATAAATAGCAGTGCGCTTTTTTGTTATATGTATGAGTATGTGAAATGATCATTTTCTCAATTTCAGCATCTAGTTGTAGGCCGTGAAAAAAGCCAATGCCATGTAAAGAGTATTTGTATTTATTTATTTTTATGAAACCCTATGCAAAAACATATATTTAACAATATATCAAAAAATTACTCGTTCAGAATAAAAGTTCGTTACCCATTCTGATTTATTGAAACGCGAGAAACAATCACAATGTATAGTATGTCACGAACAATTAACAGTAAATCGCTTGTTATTAGACTGCATTGACAGTCAGCCTATACGAGAATTTTTTTTTAAGGTAATATAACAAATATCAAATCTCTTCGAAACAGTTAATATCTTAACAATTCTAACCTACCTTAAAGCTGTTCATCAGTTCAAAAATATGTAACTTACCATAGCCACGTTTGCTTTAATGTTGACATTAGTTTTTGTATTCTTTTGTTTGTTTGATGTCAATTCCTTTTACGTGTTTTGTATACTTTTTATTGGCCCTAAAGACCTCTTCTGTGTTAAAGGGCCGTTAAGAACTCAATAACTAACTCAATGTCAACGTCTAGAAATTCTGCTGCCTGTTCATATGTAATAAATTGGACGTTTATTATTACGGTTCGTACTCTCAGACATTAATTACACATTTAAAGGGTTAGTGGTTTAGTAAGAAAATTATATTGTCATTAAATTTATTTTTTGAACAACGATCTAAACAAGTAATCACCTGATGTATTTTAAATTCAATCATATAGTGACAAAAAAACTATTATATAAAACACCGCTTGGCTTTATCAGTGATTAAATCATATTGAGGTACATGATGTTTTGAAACTAAAGCGATAAAGGCAATACCAAAAAGATAACAATGTGTAAATAATTGATAACACTTACCGTTGTAATCAGCTTCAGAAAGTCCAGATAAGATCTACGGTTAAGAAAGTATGCCCCACACTGACAAACACGATGTGCGGAGCTCCGAGGTTTATAAACAAGACAATAAACTATGTAGCGTAAGAAAGTCCATATAAGGTATATATACTCCAGTTTACTATGAATGAACACATTTGCACGTAATCACACCTGTGATAACCGCTTTACCTGTGTGTAGCGCCTATACACCAAGTCAATACCGCCGGGCCCAGGAATTTGTCATTACGCCGCGAGGTGACGTAGCCGAGATATGGATTGAGGCTTGGAATACAATATATCCACTGTATGTGGCAGTGTTTGGGAAAGGGAAAACAAATATCGGATAGACGCTAAGTACAAATAGGACATTCTGTCTGTCATGAAAAAATGTTCAACTCACTGTAAATCAAACTTAACATCGTAAGATTGGTTTGTTTTTATTCTTTTAATGTCCTTTTAACAGCGAAGGTAAAGAAACCTGACTTTAGTAGCAGATGTTGAAAATGAATGTCATGTCATTGAATATTTTTAATGGCAAAATGAGTAAAATTCTGAAATAAATCCAGGTTGCACTTTAACTCACCTGCTACATGTATTTCATATCTTCATGTTTACAGAAAAGGTTTTTGCTATTATCCGTTTTCATCATTTGATAGATAGATTAAGCAATTTATTTTACATTGATCACTGTAATAGTTCCAAATTACTCATTATCAAAACATATTCTAACTCGTGGAAAACTTAACTTCACAGCATAAGTAACTTGTTTTCTTTTGGTTAATTACTGTTAGAGTAAGAAATGCCAAAGACAGTTTTTTCCTGATCACACTAACAACATTGACGGTCAATGTCGACAGATAAGGACAAACTGTAGGTATTCAAATACATTAGAATAAAGGAAAGACACGATAAACAACCCAAATGCGCTGGACTGATAAGGGTTTACTGTCTTACATGGGACTCTGCACGTATGCAGGCAAAGCTCCACTCTCAAACCACCGCTGCAGTTGGGGGATCGAGAAAAGATTATACACTGTATCTGCTGTAACCCACTGCATGTATCATATGAGGCGATGTAAGACCCCCCTCAGGAATAAGGGATTTGCTTTGTGCCCTCTACTTGGGGACACAAAATTGACAAAACTCAATTTGCGGAACCCATTGCAACATGTAAGATCTGTATCTTTCTCTCTTCTTCTTTTCTTCTAACCCACTATCATCAGATGGTGGGCTTTTCAAATCACCCTGCGTCCGTGGTCCGTTGATCGACCGTCCATCATTTCGTCCGTCCTTACACAATTCTTGTTAGCGCTATTTCTCAGAAAGAACTGGCGGGATCTTTTTAAAATTTCACCCCATGTTCCCTTTTTTTTGGGACTAATCGCAAAACCAAAATGGCCGACAGGCAGCAATCTTTAATTTGAAAGTTAAAGTTTATTAGCGCTGTTTTTCAGAATGTACTGGAGAGATCTTTACTTGTTCGCCCATTGTCAGTATAATGTGACCAGGTGGGATGTCCTGCTGGGTGTCTTCGGCAGTATGTTTCAGTGAGGTAGGACTATAAAGTCGGCATCAGTTCCGCACTATCACAAGGAGACAAACACGAACATATCGCAGCCTCCCAAAACACACGCATACACTACACGCATGCACCTTGCACATAGGAGAGGCCTTCCTTAAATGACCTTAGCTGTTGATATGACGTGAAACAATACTAAACCAAACCAAACCAAAAGTATTGAACACGCTGTATCACACTGTACGATTGCGCGAGGTGAATTATGTGAAATTTCAGCTAATAGGAAATTGACGAAGTCATGCTTGTATCTGACTGTATAGTATCTTATATAATAATCACGATTGTTGATGACTTCATGTTGCTGTGAAAAAAAGAGCAACCAGAAACTCTGCTACAATCTATCAAAAGAAATATCTATGGCTACAGTATGTATTTAGAACATTTTCATGTTTCAGAATATCACAATCTGCTCTTGGGAAGAGTCCGAGATAATGTTCGACACTGTTTTCGACCTCTGTATTATATATATTACCGGCCGAATGTGGCTTTGTTCGAATACAATAAGGTTCATATGACATTTACACGTTTTTACCGGAAATGACATAATCCGCAGACGTTGTAACAATGACAGAAGTCAACCAATAGTATCATTTTCATAGTTTATACTTCAATGTGGTGCAGGTTAATGTCAGGATATTTCCAAACACGTTATGTCCGCTTTGTTAAGGATCCCCGTACCACTGCCAACATCTGTAACGTAGTAACTATTTTTCCGGGTAGGCTATAGCTTTGATAAATCATATATGAAAAGAAATCCTTAGTTTGCGGGACTTTTATTTAAAAAAATGAAGATGAAATAAACAAACTATAATAAAAACAGATGTTTTGAGTGTACGAGACCAGCGGGGTTGGACCGGGATTTTTACCTTAGATTTCAGATTGATATACTATCGCTCTAACCGATTGCGCTACCTGGTACACAGCAGTGTATTGGCCTTACTATTCAACAGTTACATCCTACCAGACGTTAAGAGAAGTTTACTGTACACAATAAGATTTAGCACAGTGCAGTGGGACAGGCATCCTTAACCGGAATTTTATCCAACCATAAAGTACTAGTATATAGACACTCTCTACTTGTTAAAAATCTTCTATGTTATGGCTGATATTTGCTTTCAAATAATTCATATCGCGATTCTACTCTAAATTTTTAAACCTAGTTGGCATTTTGAAAGTGGTTTGTTGTGTACAGGATTTACCGTCCTATTAACAGCTTAAATCATTAAACGACATGCCTCCATGTGTGTGTATTTGCGTGCATGTTTTATTTATGCTGGAGGCAGGGTATATATGTTTGTGTATTTGACTCCCTGTAATAGGACGGATCGTATACCGACCAGGGGCTCCCGGTCATATCATACTGACAACGGCTGAGACCAGTTGTTTGCAATTACCTTAAATGCTGAACGTAAATCAGGAAATAACATCTACATTTTTAAGGACTTTGGTATGTCCCGGCATCTGAAAAAACCCACATTGCTATCCTCATCAGGGCGAACGTTCAACATCAAAGCCAAAAGTGAGGTATTGCTAAGCATGGCACGGGGGAACAAGAGATCCCAGAGGGATTTTGGCGCCCACTATTGTACCATCTTCATTAGTTCTATGTCAGTTCAATCTTTTCTCTTCTTTACTCTTATCTGTTTGATCAGTTTGCCTGTCGGCCATCTTAATCAATCCTATGTATCAACCTCAAAAGATCACATGCAAAACTCAGGACCAAGGGGAACCTATATATTAAGTTTGAGAAAAAAAATCCTCCAGTTAATTCTGAGAAATAGCGATAACAATCTTAGACTGTAACAAGATAGCCGGCCGATATGATTTGATATGCATACCGGTAACTAAGAACAAGCGGAACACTTATGTGAAATTTGAGAAAGATCCCTCCAATACTTTTGAGCAATAGGGCTGAAAGGATTCTCTTTTCAAATACAAGATGGCTGTCTGTCGGTCATCTTGGTTGCGTGATCAGTCCAACAATACGATATGCATAACCAAGGATCATAGGTTTTGAAACCTTTATCTGAAATTTGAGGTGGATTCTTCCATTAAGTTCTGGGAAATAGCATTTACAAACTATAACTCTCAAATTTAAGAAGGCTGCCTATCAGGCCAACAATACGATATGCATAACTAAGGTTTGGTTTGGTTTGGTTTGGTTTAGTATTGCTTAACGTCCTCTCAACAGCTATGGTCATTTAAGGAAGGCCTGCCCTGTGTGCAAGATGCATGCGTGTAGTGTATGCGTGTGTGTTTTGGGAGGCTGCGATATGTTCGTGTTTGTCTCCTTGTGATAGCGCGGAACTGATGCCGACTGTATAGTGCTACCTCACTGAAACATACTGCCGAAGACACCCAGCAGGACACTCCATCCGGTCACATTATACTGACAACGGGCGAACCTGTCGTCCCACTCCTAAATTGCTGAGCGTTAAGCAGGAGCAGAAACTACCAATTTTACAGACTCTGGTATGTCTCGGCCAGGGGACAAAACCCAAACCTTCCTCAAAGAGGCGAACGCTCAGCTAAATGCCAAAAGTGAGGCATTGTCAATGGAGAAATTAGGAAGAAGAATGTTGTTTAGAAAGAAGATAAAAGATTAGATCCCAAATTTAGTCGCCTATTACGATCATGCAATGGGGGCAGCAGGTACAATTCTTACGCCCTACCTGCAGGGATACGTGATTTGGTATCCTTTTAAATATTGTAACCTAAACTGAAAGTTTATTTTGTGGAGACTGATATATTTATTTGTAAACTTGTATTGCTGTCTTGAAAAGGATCCATGTTCACTGTGACAATTAGTGAAGTAATTTTGTCATAGAAAGATATCATTGGTTTGTATGGTATTTGTATTTGGTACGGGAGAATAAATACAAAGACCTACAGTAAAACCTCGATATAAGATCCCTCGTTTTATTTACAACCTGGATTACCGCCAATATAATCCAATGTCCCCTTTTCTCGTATTCTTAAGGATTCCATTATACATTTCCCTCAATTTATCGCCAAATGTCGTTATAACGCCGAAATTCATCTGGAAAAAAGTTGGCGGTATAACGATGCTTTACTGTATAATGTTCTGTAATGATTCTTGTAATAGTGTATTACATAACTTTCAAACGCAATCTGCAGTAAAGCATCTTGTTTTAACAGCTAATGTTTCCCTATAGATGGCAGGTTTTCGCCCTGGTATTGCGTTAATTCCCACTGTATTTTGTGTGGTCTTCATCGTGGCTCAATTTTAATCACTTGTATTTCAAATCTCCATTTGTCTTAGATCATTGCTGTCGTACAGGACAAATCATGATTGCTGCCATGAGAGGGACGACTGGTTTGCCCGTTGTCAGTATAATGTGACCGGGTGGCGCGTCCTGCTGGGTGTCTTCGGCAGTATGTTTCAGTGAGGTAGCACTGTAAAGTCGGCATCAGTTCCGCGCTATCACAAGGAGACAAACACGAACATATCGCAGCCTCCCAAAATACACACACATACACTACACGCATGCATCTTGCACACAGGGGAGGCCGTCCTTAAATGACCTTAGCTGTTAATAGGACGATAAACAAAATCAAACAAACAAACAAACCCATCACGAGTCTGTGCTGGATACTTTCGACTTGGTTTGTCAGAGAGGTAGCACTCTGAGTCTCCATACGTAAAGCGTTATCG